ATTCAACTTCTTCTATAGTATCAAATTTAAATTTTTCCCTACTATACTACATTAACCTTATTTGACCCTTATCCTTACAAAAAATGGGTCGGCCCTTCAATGATCATATTCAGTAAATTATATAAAGTTATGTCTGAAAAAAGAGACCGCTATTCCTGTGTGCCCAGAGAAAATAAATATAGAGTTTCCATCATTGGATCAGGTGATCGGATTCGGCCTTCAGAAGTTCGATTGATAAAGTATTAAGGCAGAAAATTGAAAAATCTCGAATAACCCCGGCCCGGGTTTGCTTACCTAGTTTTACCAACACTCGTAGCGAACACCCCTGCCACCTAGCGTTATAATGCGGCACTAAATTTTGACAACTTGTCTTCATTGAATATGCTTCATTCTTTGTGTGATTGAATTCACGTTCGTAATAGAGATAATCATTTAAGAAACTGTATCAATTTAAAAGAAAGTAAAATGAATTTACAAGAATAAAGCAACATAGAAGTAAGGGCAAAATGAAGAAGGATAAAAGTCAAAGTGAAATGTAATAAAGACGAATATGAAAACAATAAAGTGACATATAATTACAATAATAACAAAGCATAAAGAAGTAGTCAGAATAAGAATAAAAGCAAGATACATAGACTTTTGGCGGTAATTCCCTTCCATAAAGAACCAGGATTGGACTGCTTCTAATTAATGCTAAAAGTCATCTGAATGTAAGTAAATCTTTAAAATAAACATAACCATCGAATCAGTGTGGTGAATTAAAAATGTGTGAACTATCAATATTATAGACAAGATCGAATGCACAAATTAAAATCGATGACTATTATTAATATCAAAAAGGTCTTCAACAAAGTTGCTAAGTATTATTATTCTTATCTTATAGACAGTTCAAATATTTGAAATAAAATTATTTATTTGTCCTTTATATGTGGGAGTACCATCCATAATGCATTATATATTAGTTATTTACAGACAGACAGAAGGTCAGGCGACGTACATCATAGTATTGTGTAAGCTTTTCTTGTCTCTGACCAGTAGAGCTAAAATTAAGTAAAATAAATCTAAAACTTCTCCTGATGTCCATTTTTAAAAAAAAATCTATGTCCTGAGAATTAGAAACAATTTTTATCTTAACTTTGATATTGATGAAATTGTAAGGTTATATTCTTTACTTTTTTGCGAAATTTTCTTCCAAAAATACTTCACCTCTCTCTTTATGACACCCGCTGACAGTGAGGGTATTTTATTTATTTATTTATTTATATTTTTGAACCGCAAAGTTGGGACGTGTTTGCTGAAACACCCTGCATTTTACCTTTCAAGTTTTGACGTACGTGTCTAGCTGTTTGTGCATTATCATTCCCACTGTCGTGATCCCGTGCCGGATTGGACAAAACAAGATGGCGGAGGGAACAAATCGAAAAAGGTAGGTACCTGAGATTTCGGTAAATATCCCCCGTTAACCGTCAGATATGCTTGATTCGAAAATACTGTCGAATTCCTAGTAAAATGTTTATTAGTGTGTTTAATTGCTACTTTTCCTATCGTCTCTTAAACTTGAACATTTAACGACTGAAGACTGCAGAATTTCTCCGATTGAGTTTGAAGCGGCATGGAGTTGTTTTTTTCTTCGATTTTGACAGTTTAATGCATCCAGCAGCAGGAATGTGGCTAAGAAATGATACTTTGGAGTAATTCTTACCCGTTGTTATATGTTTATTTGTTATAACCCATTTTATTATAAAAATATTTCGATTTAAAAATGTTGACACGTGCTGGATTGGAATCGGTTAATATTAATGGAAATTGTGCCGGATTAGACTGCATTTTTGGTGCCGGATTGGATGTTGTTCATGATAGTCAATTATGTAATAACTTTTTTCTCTTTTATTTTTTAAGCTATGGATGCATAGTTCAATGAAATACCAGGAGGAATTTAATAAAGCTTATCTAAGCATCTGCACTCAGGATTTTGTAGAGATGACACTTCATAAGCACATATAAGAATTGACCATGAAGCAGCAGAGAGGTATCGATGCATTATCCACGGCAGCTGCTACAGGTGGAAGTTCAACCTACGACGGTACATGTACATCAAAAACAGGCATAGAGAAATTCAGAAAGTCCGAAGAACAGACACTGACCAAAATATTTTTAGGATCTTAGATAGGTATATCTGTGATTATTTCAAATTCAAAACAATTGTACTGATTTCTCTCATTCATATTGATTTTTTATATTATTTTTCTTTCGCGCATTTTACTTTTTTGTTTGTTATGTTCATGACTGTTATTTTATTAAATTTTAACAAAAAATGTCAGAAATTTTCTTCGTCTTTTTTGAATATCTCTTCCCCGTAGTAAATAAAGGAATGCCTTTGTAACCATCGACACTTTTTTCTAGCAAGTTACTATTTTACTAAAATTTATTGTAAACAATTTTACGGTAAGTTCATTTAATTTGCCGTACAACAGAAGAAACATTTTGATTTTGTCTTCTGAAATACAACCAAATCTGAAATTCTAGTATTCTACTCGATCATGTTCATGGTTTTGTACAGTACATCCACGAAGCATCGTTTTTGAAAGGGGGGGAGCCTTAGAAATTTCAATTTCAAAGCCAACTTCTTTCAGTAACAATTTTTTATACAACATTTACCTTATATCACAAAAAGTTGGGGGCCATCCAGCCCTTCAATGAACATTTACTATAGCATAAGTAATGTTGTTTCAGACTTATTAATTTCAACTTAATTTTAATTCATCAAAAATTAAATCAATTACATTACTTAAAATGTAATAATTTACACATTAACAACGAAACATTTGAAGTTAAATTACATCGATATCGGGATCAAGTGTTAAACTGCAATCTGAAATCAAAAATTAAAATAGGCCTAACTTCGAAAATAAAGAACACATACACATTTTATTTAAATGATATGTTTATTATGTTAAACTAATTTAGAAATACATAGAGAAAGTAGTTTATTTGCATTAAATTATAAAATTTTACTAGCGTACCCTAAAGCACTCTTTTGTACTAGCGTACGTAAGTACTCTGTTAAGTAGGATCGAATTTCGCCAATGGCAAACTCTCGGGCCTTTCCTACTAGCAGTCTAAAAATTACCTCGAATGTACATGTACTACATAGACGCCATGACAACCCCCCTTTTCACAAACTTTGAAATAAATGTTGGAAGACCTCTTATCTGTGGAGTATGAAGTTTAACTTTATTGACTGCAATGATATTACCAAAAATATACAAGAGAAGGGACTTCTAAACAATTCAATCCTATATTCAAATAAACAGGAAATGTACATGTATAAATTTTTAACACCCGTTGATGATGATACATTTAAGGCTGTTTTTCTGACCTCTGATGGAAAGGCCCTACTAAGTAACATGATGCAATTTCGGATTTCGCCTCATGTGCATGATGAAATTCTCGTATGCTTAAGGGTTTTGCGGACGATTCCTCTTGCTTACTAACGGTTCCTCCTTTCCTTTTTTTTGGCCCCACGAGCTCTTTGGGGTTTACCAAAACAGTGGTCTCTGTAAAAGAAATATGGGTACAATAAAATTTGACATAAAAAGAAACAGGAAAAAAAAATATTTTTAATCGAGGGGGGGGGGGGGTTGACCATAACTGATAACAATCTTACTTCGGTAAGATAAGCTATATTATTCAAATTCCTCCTTCTCGTATATTTCATTAAACGAATCATCCATATCTTAAAAAATTAAAGATAAAAAAAGTTATTACATAAATGACCATAATGAACATCATCCAATCCGGCACCAAAAATGCAGTCTAATCCGGCACAATTTCCATTAAAATTAACCGATTCCAATCCAGCACGTGTCAACATTTTTAAATCGAAATATTTTTGTAATAAAATGGGTTATAACAAATAAACATATAACAACGGGTAAGAATTACTCCAAAGTATCATTTGTTAGCCACACTCCTGCTGCTGGATGCATTAAACTGTCAAAATCGAAGAAAAAAACAACTCCATGCCGCTTCAAACTCAATCGGAGAAATTCTGCAGTCTTCAATCGTTAAATGTTCAAGTTTAAGAGACGATAGGAAAAGTAGCAATTAAACACACTAATAAGCATTTTACTAAGAATTCGACAGTATCTTCGAATCAAGCATATCTGACGGTTAACGGGGGATATTTACCGAAATTTCAGGTACCTACCTTTTTCGATTTGTTCCCGCCGCCATCTTGTTTTGTCCAATCCGGCACGGGATCACGACAGTGATTCCAGTCCTGAAAAACTTTTACATTGCTCTACTTATAATGTACAAACTCTGACCCTTTTTTTTAACACGTTTGTTCCGCTTAAATGCAACCCGGCTCTCTCTTTCACTTTGTTGCAATTTCATGTTGTATCCATATTTTATCCACCTAAATCCCAATAAATACCTATATACCCCTAAGACAATAATTATTATTTTCAAAAGAAAAAAAATCCGAAGTATTATTCATAATGTACCCTAAACTTTTTTTCTGATTTAGAGATGGGATGGGTTCTTCCCCTACGCCTCAATGATAAATTCTCTAGTGCGATTTACCTGTTACTGAAAGTCTTCATATGGGTACCTGGATAATGTGCAGTACATGCATTTCCTCTCCATTGCTCATTACTCTTTATGATGTTTACCTTATATATATAAAAAACTTTATTTTATTTTTGAACTATAAATCCTATCTTGTGAAATTTCTTGAAATGCAATGATGCACCGGCGTTTTCCCCTTGAAATTTTTGTCAGGAAATAAAAATACGTACAGTAACATTTTGATGAAACGTGTTCCATTCTGTTCCATAAGAATGGTTTGTTGAAGAACTTAATTTTAATGAGGACATTGATGTATATCCTCCATCATCAATATGTCTCAATGTTACGTGATGGATAATATTCCATTCCCGTCGTTCAAGACGCACAAAACAGCCATCTTGAAGCACTAGGTGTAGGTCGCAAAAATGTTGTCTGGGTGTACTAAGGGCCATATCCATGTGACAATTCTCCGACTCGTGATCCTGGAGATGCCGATATGGACACCCAAACGGCACCGTGAGATAAAATCCAACACTTACTGTTCCGCCTCTCTCCAAGTATACAGTGGAGGGCACAGTCTGTGAGAATGAGACAGCATCTTAAAAGTTACAATTACATGTACTGTATTATGCAGCAAAGATTTTATTCTCTCACTGAGTCTATTTCAATAGCTCATAGATACGACTTTGAGCAAAAGATCATTATACACCTGACCCTAGGATCACGAAACATCTTAAACTTAAGTTGAACTATCTCTGTTGCAATTATATGATTTAGAAAACAAACATTCCTCTTTTAAATGCTTTCAACATTGCTTTGATAAATTGTTGCTGATTTCAAATTAAGAGTTTTTGTATACAAGTAATGTAGATCACAAAATTTTCGCTTCACTTAATTTTGAGAGTTTTTCATTTACCCTTCATTAGCGAGACAAAATTTTTCACGAATTTTGGCTATTGCTCTGTATAATCTTAAGAAATACGAATTCAGTTTTCGCGAAAATAAAGTTCTCTTTATTAATAAATAGCGATTTAATTACAGTATGATTGAAATTTTGAATGAAGTCTAAGTATGTTTCACTATCCGGGGACATGTACTTTTAAAATAAAGTAAATTTTGTTTTAAAAAGTATTCATTTTGAATACTTAACGAAATTATCTTTTCTTTTCCGTGATCCTTTTTTTCCAATGCGCGAGTTTTTCACCAAAAAAAAAAAAAAGAAAATAAAAAACAGAAAAACAATATTTTTTATCGTAGAATACACTGTAAAAAAAACTACATGTAGTTAATGTCACGAAGAAAACTAGTAGATTCACTGTCCATACAATCACTACCTTAATAGTAGTTTTACCAGATATTGGTATATTTACTAGATATATTTACTAGGTATCTAAGTATCTATACGACCCCCGCTCCACAACTCACTATCTTAACCAGTAAACTGAAAGTTTACTAATCACGACCAACGCTTTACGAAACACACTAGTTAAATTCACTAGGTTTTTCTTTCAGTGTATATTAATTTTTATCCTTATGGATTTCTATTCTGTAGATTTACTTCATGATCATGCATGATCAGGTATATTCTCAGACTAGTACATAATTATTAAATTTACGTGTTTTAACAAAGTTTTGTTTGAATGGCTCTTTGTTGCTAAAAAAGTAAGACAAGTCTAGGTCAACTTTAAAAATCCACTTCAAAAGCCATCTTGTGAAACGTTTTCGTGCTCGCACCTGTATTCCAGCAAAGAAGCCGCTACTGGTAGGAGACAGCTGCCCAGCATGATTCGATCTGGTCTTTGTTTGAACCGCACAAGAGATCTGAAACAAAAGTTTAAACGGTAATAAATATTAGTTCATTCTACTTTTTTCAAATATGATTGTGAGTTACTGGAAAATCTGATCGTCCTTTTTTTTAAGAGACGGGGAATCACACCATATACAATTCATTTATGTTATTAATTTGCATCATAAATCAAACAATTTTAACTAGAACTGTCCAAACGGGACAAAATACCCCCGCTGGGTTTTCAGAAGTGCTAAACCATGAATTTTTTATGGATGTAAGAGAAGAGAGAAATGCTAAAACATTTTTAGTGCAAATGTAATTGCTCATTATATTTTTTATAATTGAAACGAAGACGCAGCCTAATAAAACTAGAGGTACTGTGAGCAATGAGCTCACTAAATGATACCCCCCGCCTCCCATATGAATATATTGGCAGTATCCATGTTTTGCTCTGGAAAATCCAAAATATATGTCAGATCAAAAAGTAAAATAGGAGGTGCACAATGGCAATATGTAATAAAGATTCTGTGAAAGTTTCATCAAATTTCATTCAGTGGTGTGAGAGGAGTTGCGGATAACAGATGGGTACCCCAAAGCGTAACTAACGGACGGACGGACGTACAGACGGACGGAAATACCGATTACTATATACCCTCCCGCTTTTCAAGCGGGGGGTATAAAAAATAGACTAAATATACGGACCAGACACGAATCATGAACTTTTTCTGTCAGTGACCTTAAACTTGCATAAATGACCTTGGTTCAAAGTCATGACACAGCCTCAGGTCATAAGCAATGTTTGTGTGAAGTAGTAGATTCAAGTTTTTCAATAATAAAGAAAGATATGGACCGGGCACAAATTATGAAATTTTTCTTCCAGTGACCTTGAACTTCCTCAAATGACCTTTGGTCAAGGTCATGACACACCCTTAGGTCATGAGCAATCTTTGTGTGAAATTAGAACCTACCAATTTTATCCATACGAAAGATATGGACCAAACACGAACTATGAAATTTTTCTTCCAGTGACCTTGAACTTCCCCAAATGACCTTGACCCAAGGTCATGACACAACCTTAGGTCATGAGCAATCTTTGTGTGAAATTAGAATCTACCAAGTTTATCCATAAGAAAGATATGGACCGGACACGAATTATGATTTTTTTTCTTCCAGTGACCTTGAACTTCCTCAAATGACCTTGGGTTATGGTCATGACACACCCTTAGGCCTTAGCAATCTTGTATGGAGTAGTAGATTCTAATGTTCCTCCGTAAAAAAGATATGGACCGGACACGTTTGCACAGACAGACGGACAGCTAGACAGACGGACGGACGGATAGCTAGACGGACGGACGGACAAAGTGATTCCTATATACCCCCCCCAACTTCGTTTGCGGAGGGGGGTATAATAACACCGAAGTTTGACAAACTCGACAGCTCAGTACACAGATCGATAACGTTGAGAAGAGAATCGTCTTGCATCACCTTAGATGGAATTCGAAGTCCATTTTCACTTTTCAGATGTGTTGTAGCTATCTCTGCACCTGATACCAGCGATGAAATGTATACTGTTTGACCATCTATATACCAGTAAACACGATATAACATGGATGAATCGGAGGATGGGGTAAAGCTGCATTTAAAGTAAAGTTTTTCTTTCGCGATTCGTCCCTCTAAGTATTTTTCTGTCCCAACCTCAACTGTTGGTCTTTCAAGAGTTTGTGCACTGCTTAATGAGTAACCTGCGAAGGGAAATTACAATATAACGTCTAGAAATATGCTAATAAGATAGGACATTATCTCAACAAATTGGGGACATATTGAAAACCAAGGAATTTTCAATTAAATTATTTTATGCCTTTATGCCTTTATGGTACCATATAAGAGCCGGCAAAGGCATTCGCGTCGGAAGCAAATGGGGGGGGGGTTAAGTGAGAAAAAAATTCAAACCCATAAAAAACTTGACGAGCAAAAAAAAGGGGGGAGGGGATCTTCCATTGTCCAAACTCGAAAATCCTATTTCGTGGGGAGCAACTTTTTTCAATACCAACTTCTTTCAGTACCAAATTTTCTTCCAAACACTACCAGTACCAGTTATCCCTTTCTTGGCCTAAACTAGAATAGAATATTTTTTTTAGAATATTTATTCAACCAATTTGGGCCCACAGTGGAGCATACAGAACAGTGTCCAAAATCATCACAGTTATACATATACAAAACAGAACAAAACAAACATTGTATAATGAACAGAGAGTTAGTTATCTTCTTTTAGGATGTATAGAATGTACATTATAAGTGGCCTATGTATAATATCTGCAATATGCCTATATTGAACTATGTTGTTTTCTCTTATTAAAATTTGCATTTAAAAGTTGGCATAATAAAACAACAAACTCAGAATCTTCATTTGACATAATCCATGTAAACAGGTCAACATTGTTAAGCAGTATCAAATTAGGAAAGGTTTTAAAGATTTTATCTAAAAACTCTCTTCTTGAGTCATTATAAAGTGAACATTCTAGCAAAAAATGCAATTCATCCTCAGTTGGACTTGAGGTGCAGTAACGACAGATTCTCTCACACCTGGGAAGAATTTCATTTTTACCACATTTATTAATTTTCCTTTCATATCTACCCGTTTCCACCCTTAAACAATGATTACTAATTCTGAATTTTGTGAGAATTACCCGATTGTCTCGGTTTTTCATATTCAAGTATTTTTCAAAATAAAAAGACCTTTTATACTTAAAATATGTATTTAATTTACCAAAGCCTTCCAAATAATTGGTACGAATATCGTTCCAAATGTTTAAAAAACTATTACTGAGTTGTCTTTTCATGTACAATTTAAATTTGTTTTCACTTAGTTTTTTACAAAGGGACAAATCAATATTAAGTTTTTCACCGTAGAATAATATACTGGAGTACCAATCACTGTTGATGATGTTTGATTTGCACTCATTGAGAGCTGCTTTCAGTAGGTTAGATGATGTATGTTCTAGTCTATACCAGTACATGAATATTTGCTTTAACATGTCTATATATAATGGGTACCTCCCTAGTTCAGAATAGATTCCTACATTTGTACAAGATTTAGATACACCCATAATGTATTTACAGAATTTCATATTGAGTTTTTCAACTTCCCAATCTTTAAATATATCAAAAAGAGGGATATTTTTCCTTTTTGGAGTAATATCAATAATGCTCCAGTTCTCACAGCCATATAAAGCTATAGGTTTAATACAGTGATCAAATATATGTAAAAATGTTTTTAAGGAGGGGTTAGCATTTTTCACATCCCTATAGAATTTAAAGCATGCCTTTAAACTTTTCTGATACAGTTGTTTTTTGGCTTCAGTAAACTTTCCATTGTTTTCAAGAGTTATCCCTAAATATTTATATTGTTTTACACATTCTATAATGTCATTACCAAGTTGGAATGCTTCCTTCAGTAATTTACCAGAGTTATTAAAAATTATTACCTTTGTTTTTTTTATGTTTACTTCTAGACACCACTCACTACAGTAATCATGGAGAAGATTGAGTTTACATTGAAGATCTGATTTTGAATTGGACAATAAAACAAGGTCATCTGCATACAGGAGACATGAAATCATTTCTTTATCTAGAGTAACAGAAACAGAATTATGATCCAAAATACTTGGGAGGTCATTTATAAAGAGTTTAAACAAATTTGGACTAAGGACATCCCCTTGTCTGACCCCAACCCCAGATGTGAAAAAATCTGTCATTTTATCATTTACTTTCACACATAATCTATCATTCTTATACATAGATTTTAAAATTCTGTAAAAATATCCATTTATATCCTTTGATTGCAGTTTATACATAATGCCAACATGGATAACTTTATCAAAAGCCTTTCGAAAATCAACAAAACAAGCATATAATTTCTTATCACCAGTCTTGAGATATTTGTTGAGTAAACATTTTAACACAAATATATGATCTGAAGTGCGAGATTTCTTGGAGAACCCTATCTGTGATTTATGAATAGTATCATTTTCCAGCAAAAAATTGTCAAGTCTATTATTATACCCCCCGCTTGAAAAGCGGGAGGGTATATAGTAATCGATTCCGTCCGTCCGTCCGTCCGTCTGTACGTCCGTCCGTCCGTGTTTACGAGAGTGCATTTATTGGGTATTTTTCATGCCAAGATTGTACTTATTGGGTACTTTTTGCTTATTGGGTATACCCAATAAGAAGTGTCGCTGAATATGCTTAAAACACCCTAACTGGGTATTTGCAGGTTTGTACCCAACAAAACTTGGACACGACGATTTGTCCAAAAAAGTGTCCAAAAACGTTGCTTTCACGGACGCACCGTGTTTTGTTGTTTCAGTTTTACATTCGGAACTCTAAATTCTCGAGAGTTCCGAAAATCAACTTCCGTTGATCCTGATCATAACAACGTTTGTTTTCATGGAAAAAAATATGGCGACTAAGAAACACAATGTCAGCAAGATTTTCTGATTGACAAGAGAAAAGGTAAGTTTATTCGATTAATATCTATCCATTGCTGGGTTCTTGTTTAAGGAAAATAGATTTTAATGTAATTTTGAAAACAATTGTGCACAAAATTAAAATAGATATTTCGGAACAATTAATCCTAAGTTGCACTTGTTTGTATTTTGAATTTTCTCTGTCTTTTTAACTCTCTTGAGGGCGAGAAGTATTTAGTAAATGATCGTATATTGTTAGATAATCTTTAATAAATCGAAAGTGTTTATTATTTAATTTTATATCATAATCAACTAAGTATGTTCTGACAATGTATATTGGAAAGGGAAATGAAAATTTTAACAATCGTGTGTTCATAAATCAGCTGTAAATTATCGGTTCATGTAGACAGTATTATAATCGCAAAGTGAGCTGAGATGATGATAAATGGGATAATTGACAACAACTAAATAATTGTAATTAAGTTTATCTCATCTGAAATGTAACTTAAGAAATTCATTGTATTACTGAAAAACTTTCAGTCAAAACAGTGCTTCTTTCTGTCTTTGATTTTGACTCAAATCAAAAAAGTGCTAAATCTAAAGCAAACTAGCATGGCGCGGCGCCATGCCCTTTTTTCTCGGCGCCATGCCCCTTTTTCAAGCGCCATGCCCTTATTTCCTAACCCAATATTAATAAATATGCCCAGTTTAGGCAATATTCCTTTGCTGTTCTGTTTATTCAGTGCATGCTGATAATCCCTTTGTTTAAACAACGACAGGAAATAACTTCACGCTTGAACGCACGCACACAGCCACCTGGCTAATTAACATGCCTCAGGCTGTCAGGGTAGAGGATTTAACTTGAGAAACTGTCATCTGATTGCATTGATTATGCAAGAATTAGCCCAAGACCAAAGATAAATAAACTTGTAAATTATTAACTAATAAAAATCAGGATCGTTTTTTTTATAAACCGAAAGTAGAATAAAACACATAGTTCAACTTGAAGAAAAAACGGATATTTTATCTGAATAAAATACTTACAGTGTACCAACAAAACTGAATGTGATGTGATAAAAAGGCTTAAAAACAACAAACTAAGTTAGTTTCTTTGATTGAACTGATAGATTTGACAAGCTGAGGGTCAAAGTTTCTAATTAAAGTCAGAGTTTTTTTTTTTTTAAAACAAATTATGCATGGCAGTAAGACCAGTTTTCACATGATCCTGTTGGTAGAATATTTTCCAAGTAAAGAGAATGGTCTCTACATGTATTTTTCAAAATGCCCATCCCCCCTTCCCTGAAAAAAGTATTTTCCTTTAATGTTTAAATTGACTGTACTTGTAAACAAATAACAGTCCAAGCAGGTAAAAAAAAAACAATCATACCTCCAAACTTTAATAATTTTTGCACCTGTTTCAGCTAGATTAATACCATTACTTTCTCAAGTGTAACCTTACTACTTTTTTTATTGAAGAAATTGGATGTAAATGCCTTTTTATATTCTTTTTGTTTCTGAATCAATAATTAAAACATTGTTTAAAAAAAGAATGGAAAACAGATATATGAATGTATCTTTAGATAACTTGTTTTAAATAAAGATTTCAATATGAGAGGATATTAAAAGTAATTAAACATGTTAAAGTATGTAAAAATTAAAAAATGTTAAATATAATTTCAATGACATTAACATTTGTTTTCAAAGTGCCCTCTTGAGATCCTGTCGCGACACAAAGTGCCCTTTTGATTCCTTGATTACCATGCCCTTTTTAGGGTCTAGATTTAACACTTTTTTTTTTTTTTAAAAATGAGTGTCTGCTTTATTTTGATTTTTTTTAAATAATTGTTTTTGTCATTTGTTTTAATTAATTTAAAACAATACTGAAATTGATATAGGGCTACTATAACTATTTCACATGATGGGTGTGTAATTAGCATCGCGCTACACCCGGGGCTTCCATTTCTGAGGATGGGGCTAGTGTTTTTCTGCACTGAGGAATCCCCTTGGACTATTAGGAATTTTAAAATACACATGCAATACATGAAAAGCACCACAGGTATTTTCACTCTTTTTTGCTATTAAGTTCCCTAATATGGAAATATTCTAGACAGCATGCTCATATTATCCATAAATCTCCACAACTGCATCCATTTTGCAGTACTACAAGACTGATTTACTTAAAAACGATCTTTTATATCCTAATTTGAATTCCCCCCTTTCCTTTGTTTATAATATAGCAATATTTGCTTGTACATATATGCCTCTCAGATATCTCA